TCCATTTAAGTCTTCCTGGACTGATATTCCCCAAGTTTCACCTCAGAATGCGACAACCAGATTATCCTGGGTGCTGTTTTACAATGTATGTTTTAGTGTAGAATGACTGGATTTCTTGTACAGATTTCTCTTCCGGATTCTGGGTAACCATTAGCTCGTTGGCTTTGCGTTACTATTCTTGTCTGCCAGCCTTGTTCTGGGCTGTATTATTTGTGTACTGACACATGCCAGAATACGAATGAATGGCAGCAGTTCTTTTCCCTGAAAAAACGTCTTACTCCTCAGAGACCGTGGCTCTTAGCAATGTATTAAATAAAGAAATACAGAGAGGACAAATAATTCTCCCTGCCGTCTTGCCCCATCCCAGAATGTTAATGGCACAGAAGGAAAGTGATAGATCGGTGGCTGCGTGGCTGAAGAGGACTTCGTTGGACCATTTCCACCCTGCTTGGCATGATGTGCTGTACTTGGTTCTTTTAATAGACTGGCATCTGATTTGCCTCCTCTCGTGGTTCTGATGTGCTGTCTGAAAGCAACGTTTAAACCCAGCAGGTATAGAAATGGCTACTGGGACAAAATTTGGCCTCTTAACTGCTAAGTCAAATTCAGCCCATGGTCTCAAGCCACCCAAGGCTCAAATGCTAAATTGCATTTTAATCAGTGCGTGGTCTATAGCGCCTGCGTTGATGTTTCCTAATGTTTTTGCAGTGGGGCTGGCTCCTGTACCTTTCTGTCCTCACCGTGTCCCCTTTCCTCACCACTGAGGACGTAGGGTCCTGGCAGGTCATCACTGGCTGTCACTGATTCTTCTTCACTCCTGCCTCTGCCTCCTCCAGCAGCACCGTGGAGCTCGTGCTGATAAGAAGACATTTGAGCGTGGGGTCTGCCTTCTGCCTTACCGCTCAGAAACCCACATCCTAAAAGACAAACCTTGCTGCTTTCAAGTCGCCAACTCTCTGTTTCTTTATGAACCCGTAAAAAGTAGCAGAAGCAACCAGTGTCTTCACGTGCCCATTCCTGACTGTTGTAGGAAACGGGGATTCTCTGGGAGACTCCCTCTGGGATGCCTCCCGCCCTCTGCTCGAGGGGAAGGTGGAATACCCTGCATCGTCCTTGCTCGGATAGTCCCTGGAAGGAAACTTTTCTGTACTTCACATTTGGCAGGCGTTTGAGTCCTGGTGCATGCGAGTAGGCTTTCCTTAACTGCTTGATCACATTTCTTACCCACTGATGCTGTTGGCAGCCAAATAGCTGTCTGTCCGCTTGCAACTTGGAAAGGGGGTTCTGGCAACTGCTTTTTGAGTAATTCCTGTCATTTCATAGGTGTCATGCTGCATGGTATCAAGATGCATCTCTGTCACTGAGGAGGGAGGATTCTTAGATTAGGTTTTGTGATCCTTTTTTTTTTTTTTTTTTTTTTAGATATTAAAAAATAAAAAAAAAAATAAAGGCTTGTTTGGGATGTGAGCTACTGAGCAGTGAGAGAACCTGGACCGCATGCCCATAAAGGAATCTGAATTGAGTAAGTGGCAGGAGAAGGAGTCGGCGTTAAGCCTCCAAGTATAGTTAACTTGCACATGAGGGTTCGTGCCTGCACGTGTGACATCCCACCCTCATGAGGAACCCCTGGAGAGAGTCCAGAGGAGGGCAACAAAGCTGATGGGGGGACTGGAGCATCTCCCCTAGGAGGAAAGGCTGAGGGAGCTGGGCTTGTTCAGCCTGGAGAAGAGAAGGCTGAGAGGGGATCTCATCACCACCTACAAAGAGCCCTGGCCCAGGCTGCCCAGGGGGGCTGTGGAGTCTCCTTCTCTGGAGATCTTCAACCCCCGCCTGGCCGCTGTCCTGTGCCCCCTGCTCTGGGTGAGCCTGCTTGAGCAGGGGGTGGGACTGGGTGAGCTCTGGAGGTCCCTTCCAACCCCGGCCATTCTGTGTTTCTATGATTTCCCACCTTGAGGTGTTGGTGACATGTAAGCTCGTATCAGACACGTAGCAGCTGCTGATGTGGCACACAGTGAACGTGTTTTTACAGCTATTTGGATGATGTAGAGACTGCCTATTTTGGGAGTAGATCACAGATTTCCTAAACTTCTCTCTGGGAATCAAATGAGAAAGCAGTTCCCCTTTCTTCTGGTCACCCTTCTGCATAGGAAACAAATTGGTTCCCTGCGAGCCATGCTGTTCGCTTTCTGCTGAGAGATGCAGTGGCAGGACATTAATCACCGATTGCAGTAAGGATATGTTTATTGCCTGCTGCTTTATGGATACCTATTTTGGGGAAACTAAATGTCTATGCGGGGCTTGTTGGTTTTATTTCTTCCCCCCCACCAATATGCTGTGAGCTTGGATGAATGCTTCATCCTTCTTGCCTTTTACCTGTAAACCAAAAAGCATTTTACTCGCTCGCCTTCCTCGCTGTTGAGGGTGTTAGGTTGTTAGTTTCATAGAATCATAGAATGGTTTGGGTGGGAAGGGACCCCCAGAGGTCACCCAGCCCAACCCCCCTGCAGGAGCAGGGACACCTTGAACCACATCAGGTTGCTCACAGCCCCGGCCAACCAGGCCCGAAATGGTCCCAGGGATGGGGCCTCCACCCCCTCTCTGGGCAACCCCTGACAGGGTTTCGCCACCGTCATGGTAAAGAATTTCTTCCTTAGATCCAGTCTAAACCTACCCTGGTTTAGTTTAAAACTATCACCCCTTGTCCCGTCACAGCTGGCCCTACTGTAGGTTTAGTTAGGCTAGGTTTAGTTTGCCAAGGCCCTTCAGGCCATGTGCCAAAGATGCTAGTGAGCAGAAGCGCCTGTGGATAGCAAGGTTAGCAGCAGACTTCTGCATGTGGTTCTTACTCTATTCTTGGTTTTCTTTGTGATGATTTAGGAGGAAGTTGGTTCGACTCTGCAGTGTTTTGATCTCCCAAGCCATTGTGTAAGACAGTCCTATTCCCTGTGCTTTTCTTCTTCTGTCAGGTTCTGTGGTTTATTGAAAACAAAGGAGATTTCCAGTTGTCCTTGGATGAAAGGCTTTCCCTGACTCAGCGTGAGATGGGACATGTTCTCTCTGAGCTCCTGAATGCACTGGGTTTTTTTTCAGAGGGGTTCTTTTTGGTGTGGTGGGTTTGTGAAAGGAGATTTGCCTTGCTCATAGGGGCTGGTACACGAAACCGTCAGTTATTTGACAGTAATGTCTGTAGTTTTCAAGGAAGTGGTGGTGGTTTCAGCCTACCTCCTTAGCACGTGGTTGCAAGTGCCATGCGAGTGCCCTGTATTCAATCTGGCAACCATGTGTGCGTGTGAAGAAGGTTCAGCCACCGCTTTGTGCTGCGAGTGTGACGAGGGAGTTTGCATTCTGCAGGCGACGGATATTTTGGGGATGGGGGGAGCAGGCTGGTAGCAGCATCTAATTGTTCTGCTTTGCAGAAGTTTGCTCAGGTCTGTCTCGTTCTGTATTTACAATGCATCTTGCTCATCTTCAGCTTCTTCAAACAACTCTCCCCGTGCGGCAGGCTCAGCAGCAGGAGCAGAAAAGGTATTGGAGCAAGCGAGGAATGCCAGGGAGATGGATGTGAAGTCGAGGGGGAGAACGAGTACCTGTGCGGTTCGATAGCTGATGGCTTGGGGGACGCATTTCCTAAAGAGGAACATGTAGAGTCAATGGCTGGGAAAAGTTAACTTCAGGAATCAATTTATTGACCTCAAATACAAGCTTATACAAATATCTTAAGGGCGGAAGTCATGAGGATGGAAGCAGTCTGTTTGCAGCGGTGCCCAGCGACAGGGCTAAGGGCAATGGGTGCAAACTGAAACATAAGAGGTTTCAGTTGAACATGAGGAAAAACTTCTTTACTCCAAGGGTGACAGAGCACTGGAACAGGCTGCCCAGGGAGGTTGTGGAGTCTCCTTCTCTGGAGATATTCAAGGCCCGCCTGGATGAAGTCCTGTGTAGAATGCTCTAGGAGAGCCTGCTTGAGCAGGTTGGACTAGATGATCTCCCGAGGTCCCTTCCAACCCTTGCCATTCTGTGATTATCAAAGGCAGAGGTTTAGAGATGATCTCTCTTGGTAGGAAGTGTTTAACCTTGGCTGGTTGGGTTTTTTGCTTTATTGAGCTGTCTGTGAGATATCGATGAGGGTACTTTCTGCCACGCTAATGCTTCTGTAAGTCCCTGGTTTTATTTCACGGTGATGTTCTGGAGCTGCAGTCTGATTTCTTCACAGCTACAAACTTTTGAGTGCTTGAGATTTTACACACAGTGTGGTATTCCTCCTCCAGGAGGAGAGTCTTGAGCAGTGATTCACAGAAGTATTTTTCTGCATGACTCAGATGTTTGAAGGTTGCTTGGGCTGGCTTTCAGGGGAAAAAAATCTCGTAACAAATTTCGTGCTTTAGGCTGGTTTTGGTTATCTCCGTTACCTATCACTGAGATATCTTTGAGGGCTTTAATCAATGAATCACTGTAACGAAGATCAGGAAGTTTCGGCAAATGAGAATTACGTGAGTCGCCTTCTTTCACAGACAAATTGGTAAGGAAACGGGAATTGGTGGAGGTTTGACACTTACCCTATCAAAACAGCAATTGTTAGAAATCAATCCATTTTTTAATCATAGAGTTTAAGACGTTTAAATTAATCTGAGTGTATGTGTAGCGTGATTTAATTGCTGAGGTTAAAAGTTGCTAATGTGTCCAAAGACGTTTCTGACTTTGCTGCTGTAGAAATAATTGACATTTTTGAGCAGACAGGCAGTGATAACTGGTGATTAAACAGCTGATTTACAGCAAATGCATTACAGCATATGGAATTCTGCTTTTTTTTCTTCTTTCCTTAAGCTTTTCAAAATAGAGCGCAGAAAGGAAATCAATTAATATTGTGTGGTGGTATAATGCGGCTTGCTAGTAACGGGATTAACGAGGCTGGTACGGTTCTGTGTGGACATCCCAGACCTCATGAAATAATCCTGGATAACCTGCTGTACTGAAACTCTTCTTTCTGTGTTACCTTGCAGAGCAGTGGTAGAGGCCGTTCATAGGTTGGATCTCATCCTTGGTAATAAGGCAGCGTATCAAGAAGTGTTCAAGCCGGAGAACATCAGCTTGAGGAACAAGTAAGTTGGGGCAGGGCGCTTCTTTTTTATATTTGGCTGGGGAAAATTCACGTGAAGCAACACGTGGAGGTTTTGAATCTGTGGTTTCATGGTGTATTTGATTTGTAGCGCACCTATTGACTTGGGATCCCTCCAGGATTTTGAAGCAGAGGCTAGATTTCAGATCTGTATTTGAACAGCACCGACCCATACAGTCCATGGCTGGAGGCTTTCCTGGGTGTTGTTGTAATACAAATAAGTCGTCTTCATGTTGGCCAATGCCTTCCTTGTAATTATCTTTAAAAAAAATGTGTGGTGAAGAAACCTCTGATACGCCTGTGAAATCTTGTGTCAGGTTCAGAGGGTGCCCAGCAGGGATGGTTTTTCTTATTAATTTTTTAAGCTGTCAAGACAATTTTTGACATTACTGCAGTTTAGGAGGTTGCTGGTGGCCAGCTGAGTGAAGGTGTATGGCTTTTCCAGATGCTCTTGTGTGGGAGTGATACAAGCTGTACTATCACCAGATGGCCTAGCTCATCCATCGTGATGAATTCAGATTTTCCTCTTCCCTGCTTCTGTAGTGGCAGCTGTATTTGAAGCTGCTCTAGCTAAATGTGAATTCTCCGCTGTCTGCCTCAGGCTGCGGGAGCTGTGCGTGAAGCTGATGTTCTTGCATCCAGTGGATTATGGAAGAAAAGCAGAAGAATTGCTCTGGAGAAAAGTTTACTATGAAGTTATCCAGCTCATTAAAACAAATAAAAAGGCAAGTATCTATGGCTCTGGCACGAGAAAGTCTCTGGCTGTGAGGTGGGTGAGACCAAGTTAAAAGCTTCGTTTGCTTGGAGAAGTTGTGGTCTGAACACGGGGCAGGAAGCCGGGCACTCCTGCATTCTAATCATGGAGCTGACATACGCTTTTTGTCTAGCTGTGGGCAGGTAAGCTTTAATGATCTGCTGAGAGAGCTGCCGTTGCAGAGGATATTTCAACATAATTTGCTTATTTTTTTGTCTTCCTATTGTCAAAAGATAGATACCTCCCTGTAGAACGATGGTCTTAAGAGGCTTTGACAGTGCTGCTTGGTTTTACTAGAGTTGGTCACTGGAAAACACTCACAGTATCCACATTTGTATTTTTTTAATGCCATGAGCTCTCTTAGAATCATAAAATCGTTTAGGTTGGAAAGACCTTTAAGATCATCAAGTCCAACTGTTAACCTAACACTGCCATCCCACCACTAAACCATCTCCGTTCTGGTGACTAAACCATCTCCGTTCTGGTGATCTGGGTTTCTGAATGTGTTTAAGGTGCTCTAACCAGACACCTTGATTTTACTTATTTATTGTTGCAGCAAGTATTTCTCCTCCTTGATGCTGACCCTTAGTAAACACCACTAGACACAACATTGTTGAGCAAGAGGAGGTACAGAACTGTGCAAAACCAATTACAACTGAGCTACCTGCTACCTTGCTTCATACTTGGTATGACTTGGGTGGCAAGCATAAAATGTTATCCGGACTGCATCGACATATTCTTCTTTTTTTCCTCCCTCCAGCACATTCACAGCCGTAGCACTCTGGAGTGTGCCTACCGGACTCACTTAGTTGCTGGCATAGGATTTTACCAGCACCTTCTCCTCTACATCCAGTCTCACTATCAGCTGGAGCTGCAGTGCTGTATCGACTGGACGCACGTGACGGACCCTCTAATAGGTTGGTGCTTAGCGTGTTGGCCTCGTGGCTAAGGCCTGGCACCCAGACGGGTGGCTTCCCCTTGTACTCGTCCATTTTTGTTTCAGCATTCAAGGGATTATCTTTTTTTTTTTTTTTCCTGATTAGTCAGTTATCTGTTTAGAACAGACTGTCCTCCTCTCTTTTCCATGGCACTGTTTTGCTGGTTTGTTTTGGGTTTTTGTTTTTGTTTGAGGGGTTTTTTTTTTTTTTTTTGATACTAAACTAGGGGAGAGGAAAGGGTTTCTAATAGGAAGAAAACGCTGTTAGAAAATTCTTTACTAAGTGTTTGGTGATGGCAGGTTTTTAGAGAAAACTGAAGAACACTTCTGGCTGCTCAGAGCTTTTAAAAGCTTACTTAAAGCAGGCAAATGGGCTGTTGGGGGGAATAGGTTCTTGAAATCAACACATTTTTGTCGGGACATCCTATTCACTAGATGTAAGGTACTGTGCCTCCTCCTAGTGCCCCTTCTGCCTGTCCTCCCTTCGTGTACTTCCTAATTGTACTGTGTGTGGCTTTGAAACCGCTATTGAATCTTGGACTGATGACAGGAGGAAGCTCCTGTAACACTGCAAGGATGTTAGCAGTCTCGGGTAACCGCCCCTGTGCGTGCCCTTAGATGCGGGGTAATTTGAGGTATTTTGCCTATTAGGGGAGGAAGAATGAGAGTGTTTACAGTCTTGGAACAGCTCGAGGCTGTGTGTGCGTTCACATCCTCAATTGCCTTGTAATGATTTGCTCACATTTGCTCCTGGGTTGTGCTCAGTGGCCTCAAGTGTTGCTGTTCGGGTGGGTCCAGGTGAGAAACGGAGCCTCCGTATGTTTTGTGAACTCTGTTAGCAAGGGTTTAATTGACATTCTTAAAGCTGGCAGGGGGTGAAGACAGCAGAAACCCGTATAATAGAAGTTAATAAGTCTTTAGCAAGAAGAACATTTTAGTTGCTGGTATCCTATTCTTAGTTCTGGGAGATGATTGTATCATGATCAGCTTTGAAATGTCGGTTTAAAAGGCAGATGTCCCTGGCAACTGTCGCTTTGCAAAATGAATCTAAGTACTGCAGAATTAATAAATTCTCAAAATGCGCATCCTGGATGGGTTTGTACCCTGTGGTGCGTGATTGCATTTGAAAGGCTCCCCTTATTCAGGTTTCCTAATGTGCTTAGGCTCTTTAATTAAGTGGATGCAGCAGATGAGTATGTAACTGGATAATAGAGATGTAACCTTGCGTATCTGGAAAAGATGGATGTGTAAGAATCCCCTATGAACTACAAATTAGGGTGGGCGCAACTTGATGGCTGTATAAATGGGAGCAAGAGGATTCAAAGCAAAAAAGAAGGGGAGGGTAGGTCCAATCGCATACATGGAGACAGATCTGAAGGCCGTGTATGATGCAACTCCTACAATGTCCGTTAGTAAGTGGGAACCATTCCTCACTGGTCACTTAAGCCTTCAGATTTCACTTCCACTCTTTTAAACTAAGCCAAGAGGGAAGCAACTCAGACTGCAGGCTGGACTGGTCTTAAAAATCTTCCTTTGGGATTCCCCCTTGAGGGAGTTTTCTCCTCCGGAAGGTGGAAGTCCTTGGCAACAGGAAGACTGAACCCAGACTGAATCCATGATACTGGTCTGCCCAGTGGCAGCGGATGCTCTCTGGAGAGGAAGCGTGAACGCAGTAGCCTTTGCCTCCCGATCGCTGGCTGAACCACGGCCGCGCTGGCTGGGAGATGATGGGGAGATGGGAAGCACGGTCTCGCCAGCGGCAGCCCCTCCCAGCAACTGAGTCATGTTTCATGGCTTTGCTTAGTTCGGGTCAGCTGGCTAGGGCCTTCCCCTGTTGCTTTTGACACTTTCCACTGACTGAACTGCCTCTTCTTTTAAGTTCAGAATAGAATAGACTATTTCAGTTGGAAGGGACCTACAAGGATCATCCAGTCCAACTGCCTGACCAATTCAGGGCTGACCAAAAGTTAAACCTTGTTATTAAGGGCATTGTCCAAATGCCTCTTAAACACTGACAGGCTTGGGGCATCGACCGCCTCTCCAGGAAGCCTGCTCCAGGGTCTGACTAACTTCTTGATAAAGAAATGCTTCCTAATGTCCAGTCTAAACCTCCCTTGATGCAGCTTTGAACCATTCGCACGCGTCCTATTGCTGGATACCAGGGAGAAGAGATCGGCACCTCCCTCTCCACCTTCCCTCCTCAGGAAGCTGCAGCAAGCAACAAGGTCACCCCTCAGCCTCCTTTTCTTCAAACTAGACAAGCCCAAAGTCCTTAGCTGCTCCTCACAGGATGTTCCTTCCAGCCCTTCCACCAGCTTTGCTCCTCTTCTCTGGATGCAAAGGCAGTTTTGACTGCAGCTGCCCTTTCTACAACACAGATCTGCTGTCCTGGTTTTTCCTTATTTTATTTCTCTTCCTCCCTCTTTGACTGGCCAGTCCTAAATCTAGATCTCGGTCTTGAGACAATGAGTTTGTTTCCATCTTTAATGTTGGGGAGGGTACGTCCCATGTTGTATGCTACTATCGGGTGCAAGTGCACTCAGGCTTCCAGGGATTTACGCCGGCTCCTATCCGAAGGCCTCATTAGCCATGCTAACAAAATCAGCCTCTCAGCAGGCCTTACTAGCCTGTGCTCAATGCTGTTAACATGATCACATGGCTTGTAGACAGGAATTGGCCTTTGTCCTCTCATCTGAGTGTGCAAATGGAGCCAGCTCTGTGGCGTACCTTGCAGGCAAAGTCTGAGTGACAGTCATTTCGGTGACTGGTAGTGAGGCAGTGACATGCACTGCCCCTAATCGGCAGGGAGTTGAAGGGGGGAGTGGGTGAGCATCAGCATCTACATGTATTTCCGACATTTATTTACCATATTTTGACAAGAGTGAACCAGTGCTGGTCTGTAAGATGCCACAGACAGCAACCAACAGTGTGGTCTGACCACGCGGTCTTTGTTTTCATCCGCTGAAATGTTGGGTGTCTCGGGCAGAGGCGTAGGCTGCTCGTGTGTCTTTCCAGCAGCCCTTACCCCACAGTGTACATGATTTCATATTTCCTCATGTAGGCTGCAAGAAACCGGTGTCTGCGTCGGAGAAGGAGATGGAGTGGGCACAGATGGCGTGTCACAGATGTCTGGTTTATCTGGGAGATCTAGGTAAGAACAGCATCATCTTTCAGGGCAGCCTTTAATACATTAAAAAGACGGTGCCTGTATGGTGCTGAGTCCATCGTCGTTAGTCACCAGCTGTAGTTGCTTGCAGACACT